TATAAGTTTTGAAGAAGAGCGCACAAATAAAAGTATCGTTTTCATTACCTCATATCAAGGGTCATGTCCTACCAGCATGACTTATCACTGTTGATGATGACCTTAATTACCTGACTGAGGTCATGTTTGCCAGGTTTCTCCATTGTTAGGTTGCTCTTTCCCCCCTTTCCACACTGTACTCTTCTTAAGGAGTTTATGCTAGGTATTTATTTTATACTTTAGATTATAATCCAGTGCTATGTCATTTATTTTATTGCTAAAGTTTCCCAGCTTTGGCCATTGGGAACTCTTCTAATTGGCTCTTGTGTCCCTCTGACATATTCCTGTTGTTGTGCATTTGTGTTCTTTGTGTTGGGGGACTTGGTATAAAAATATTCATCCAGAGAGCATTTCCTTACTCTCTGGTACTTCTGTAAGTTCCAGTTCATCTTGTATATTTCCTACCCCAGTCCTAGAATCAACCATTTCTCTAAGAAGCTCTGTTGCCTTGTATTGGTAAATTAGAAACCAAGATTCTGACACCCATTTCTACTGGGTGTTATTGTTTCTGAGCCCTCTTAACTGACAAAGCAAGAAAATGTATGTACGATAGTGCCTTTCTTACCAGCCAGCATGTGGGTTCAGCATTGGAATTAGAGAGGGATGGAGTCAATAAACTTTATATGCAGTTCTCTGCAACTTTAAATACAATTCTTAGTTATATGTAGACTAGAAGGAGGGCAAGACAAGTATATCAGTGACTGTTCCAAATCAGCAGGATAGCTGCTGTAAAAGTCCTACCAGCGTGATGTCTGAATTGATATAACTGTTCTAGAGGACAAATGGGCAGAATAACTCAAAATCCAAAACACAGGGGTCATGCCGGACCTTTGGGGGAATAAAGTGACTGTGGAAACCATTTTCTTTCCCTTAAGAATCATGGCTCTACAAAAGAAGTGGTATATATAGCCTGAATATTCGAGTTGGATATTTGGCCTAGTAAATTGTGGCATGGCCATGTGACAAGTTACTGTGTGTTAAAAATGCGAGAGTAGGATAACTGTCAAGTAACATGAAAAGATGCTCACATCTTTTGCAATTAGTAAAAATAAATTTTCAAAGCAGTAAACTTATAAAAATAACTGTAAAAAGTTAGGCATATGCCTACCTAACATAAGTTAGTTATTTCTGAGTTGTGCAGTTATTTCTTTTTTCTTATTTTCCCCTATTATTACAGGGAAGCAACATTATTTTTTTTATTAAAATAAGAAAGCAAAAAGGTTTTGTTATACTAAGAAAACAAAAAGTTAGATATTTCTTTTTAAAAATACAATAAAGTATGTCATTAATTTGGGGTTATGTTTGGGGAACAGTGAGTAGTCCCATTTGGCAGGAGTATGGGAAGGCAAAAAACAAAAGATTTGGATTTTAGTGTGAGGTGTTCATTCTTACTGTTTGTTTAGTGAATAAATTTTAGAAGTGCTGATAGTCTACAATACAGTTTTTTTTTTAAATATAATTTATTGGTTTTTTACAGAGAGGAAGGGAGAAGGATAGAGAGTTAGAAACATCGATGAGAGAGAAACATTGATCAGCTGCCTCCTGCACACCCCCTACTGGGGATATGCCCGCAACCAAGGTACATGCCCTTGACCGGAATCAAACCCGGGACCCTTCAGTCCGCAGGCTGACGCTCTATCCACTGAGCCAAACCTGTTAGGGCTAGAATACAGTTTTTAATGAAATTCTCTTCAGCAACATATGTATTATTCCATACATGAATATACCATTATTTATCGCTTTCTCTATGGGGGACATTTGGGGCTTTTAATTTTTAGCTATTACAAATAAGGTTATGCTGAACATTTTTGTACATAGGTTGTTTCTATTGGATGTGTGTTTTTGCTTCTTCTGGGTAGGAGTGGAATTGCTGGGTGTCGGTAGATGTGTGTTTACTGCCCTATAATTCACCAAATTGTATTATTTTACACCTCCATCAGCAACAATTGAGAGTCCTGATGGTTTCATATCCTCACCAACACTTGGTATTGTCTGTTTACTTTAGCCAGTCTAATATGTTGCAGTGTGTGTGTTTATAATTTCTGAACTATATATACTGTTTATATTGCTCCTTGAAATGTAGGGGACAATAGATCACTATAATTATAGGGTTTTCTTTAAACCTTTTCAACACAGGTGATACAGAAATACATAGAGTACTTTGAGAATTGACTTTTGTAAATTGGAGCAGACATTTAAAAAAAATTTTATTACATGAAAACCATGTATTCAAAGGAATATACATTTCAAGTTATTGCAGCTTATTGCAGAATTTCTTCAGGTAAAGCATGCATGAACTTAATCAGAAGTAGCATGTCAGTGTATTTAAAATCATTACAAAAAATCTTTCCAGTCATGTTGCCCATAATAAATTATTTAAAGCAGGGATTGGCATAGTGTGGTCCGGGGGCCAATTTAGCATGCTTTTTGTTTTTGTAAATAAAGTTGTATTAGAATATAGAAATGTTTATTTAAATATTATTGATAGCTACTATAGCTCTACAAATGGAAGAGTTGAGTAACTTCAACACAAAGCCAAAAATATTTGCTATCTGACTTTTAATAGAAAAAGTTTGCAAGATGTTAATACTGAGTAATCATATGGCATTTTAGTTTTCTTCTGGAGATTAAAGCTGTTTCTCTTGAGATTAAATGAAGCAGCCAAAAAATAAAATCAGCTGATCAAAAAAATTATTTCTACCTTAACTTCAATAGCTTTCAGGGCATATCAACTGACAGTAGTTTTGCATTCCCAGTTCTTTTAAGTTTACGTCTCTGTATGATTGCCTTTAGGACATTTGTGAAAGCTTGTTTGTTAAGCCATTTTACCAACTACAGTCTGGTTGAGAAGCTGTATGTAGTTGACTTAAGCAGTTTGGCCATATGAATAGTGTTATCCAATATGCTTTGTGCCAGCAAATTCCCTGTATCAACTCTGTAACTGCCTAGAAATAAAAGACCTATGCGTTGTTATATAAACCTTACTTTTACAAGCACTTGGGTTTGGATTTTTTGCAAAACTCTTCGCTGTGTCCTCTTAGGAAGGAATCATCCATAATGTTAACTGTGATTTGTTTTCAGATTCTTTTCAAATTTATGTCATTGTTCTAATAGGGCTTTACTAAACTTTTTAATTTAGATGAAGTCCAGTTTATCATTTTTGTTTTTTGATTCATGACTCACAGGGACCCTCTAGATAGCTCTGCAGCTCCCTCTCTGTTCGCCTTTTTATCTTCAGTATTTCTAAGACCTACACAGTCCAGCTATCTTGCCCTCCCTCAAAATCTGCTCTCTCTTATCTCAGCTCAAGACACTCCCCATCCAAACCTGTTTCTGTTTCCTCTCAATGCGCTGCAGCCTGGAAGCTGCCACCAGGTGATACTACTGTAGTCTTAGGTCTCACCTTGAATTTTGTCCTTTTGTCAGGAATCACCACAGTTCTGAGTTGCCTTAACTGTTGTTGTCTATGCCAGGAAAGCTCCTTGGACAGCAGTTTGGCGATGTCTTTGAAGGTTTTAATAGTTTACCGGTAAGAAAGAGCATGGGCTCTAAATTAGTCAGGTCCCACAATCGTAAAGAATTTATGACCCTGGGAACATAGTTAGCTGGAAGGCTAGAGAAATTACTGGACGAGAGGAATATCACTTTAATTTGTCATCTTGAAACAGGAGGTGTCAGGCTCTTGGATGGTGTCCTGAATATGATGTAGGTTCCTTAACACATTAAGCGCCCAACCTGTTTTGTCTTCTGGACGGAAAGTATAGTGTCAGTCAGTGGTGACTGACTGGGCGTTTAATGTGTTAAGGAGAATCAAGGCTATTGTCTTGACTATGAAGACAGTGCATTGTTAAAATTGAAGGCCATGCTTCTGTTCTCCAGTTCTTTAACATGTGAGCAAATAAAATTTAACAAGGGGAAGATATTAGAGCCCTAACCGGTTTTGCTCAGTGGGTAGAGCGTCGGCCTGCGGACTCAAGGGTCCCAGGTTGGATTCCGGTCAAGGCCATGTACCTTGGCTGCGGGCACATCCCCGGTAAGGGGGCGTGCAAGAGGCAGCTGATCGATGTTTCTCGCTCATCGATGTTTTTCTCTATCCCTCTCCCTTCCTCTCTGTAAAAAATCAATAAAATATATTTAAAAAAAGGGGGGGGGGAAGATATTAGAAATAGCTGGATGCTTGGTATATTTTATGAAGGATTGCTGACATTATTGACATTTGTTCAGTTTTAGTTGTGTCATGACAAACAAGGAAACAGTTTTTCTCCATTGGCAAAAGCAAGGGATATTTTCCCATAGCCTGCTTGAATCCCTTCGCATTTGGTGGACTGGCTTCATATTGCTTATACTGCTGTGCAAATTTTTATGCCACTTGCACCTAGGATAAACCCAATTCAGGGGCTTCTCTTTTCTATCTATCTATTTATTTATTTATTTATTTATTTATTTATTAAATAATTCTTTATTGTTAAAAGTATTACATGTCATGAGCTTCTCTTTTCTATCGAGAACCTGACATATGATCTTCATGTCAAAGGATCAATTAAAGTAGCAATTCTTGTACCCAGTTTTTTTTAAACAGGAGCACTTTCCCTCCTTTTGAGATTAGCTATGGTATTTTCCAATGGGAAGTCTGTTTTGAATAGAACATTTTACCTGTTACAATAGAAAGGCACCAGCTTCACTTTCTTGCAGCAGGGATGGACAATACATGAGGTGTATAGAGTGAAACAGGTTGCTTTTCTTCCATCTTTTCCTTCCCCCCCTCCCTTAGTATTAGCTTTTGCTTTTGTTTGAGTAGTTGGTTCCTGAAGATGTAGTAACTCTGGGCATGCATATGTGTATATATGTTCCTGAAGCATCTTAAAGCATGTAAATGAGAAGACTTTGTTGTACTAGTATAAACCGAAACAAATAGGTACATGACAGACCGCTAAGCCTTCTCTTTCCTTATGTTTTCACAGGAGTCTCCTCAGGACAGTGCTATCACCCGGGATATTAACCGGACATTCCCAGCCCATGACTACTTTAAGGATACAGGAGGAGATGGACAAGATTCCTTATATAAAATATGCAAGGTATTTCATGTCACAGACACAAAAAAAAGACTCAGTTTTGAATTGTCAGTTTGGTTCTTTGATAGTATGCAAAAAATAACTACAAAGTGTAATGTGTATATGATGTTCAAGAATAAAAAAAGAAAGACTGTAAAATCAACGATAAGAACACAATTTTAGACCATGATGAATGGGAGTTAATTAGAAATGAAATGATAGGGCTCCTTTTACCCTTTTTTTTTTTTTTAATATATTTTTTATTGATTAAGATATTACATATGTGTCCTTGTCCCCACGTTACCCTCTACCCCCCACACCCCCCACCCCCGCTCATGCCCTCACCCCTCCGTTGTCCATGTCCATTGATTAGGCCTATATGCTTGCATATAAGTCCTTTGGTTGATCTTTCCCCCTTACCCCCACCCTCCCCTACCTTCCCTCCAAGTCCCGACAGTCCAATCAATGCCTCTCCGTCTCTGGATCAGTCCTTGTTCATCAGCTTATGTTGTTCATTATATTCCACAAATGAGTGAGATCATGTGGTATTTATCCGCTCTCCAGTTCCATCCATGCTGTGGCAAATGGTAAGAGTTCCTTTTTCTTCTTCCTCTTCTTAAAGAATACCTTTCAGCATTTCATATAATGCTGGTTTGGTGGTGATGAACTCCTTTAGCTTTTTCTTATCCGTGAAGCTCTTTATCTGACCTTCTATTCTGAATGATAGCTTTGCTGGATAAAGTAATCTTGGTTGCAGGTTCTTGCTATTCATCACTTTGAATATTTCTTGCCAGTCTCTTCTGGCCTGCATGGTTTCTGTTGAGAAATCAGCTGACAGTCGTATGGGTACTCCCTTGTAGGTAACTGACTGTCTTTCTCTTGCTGCTTTTAAGATTCTCTCTTTATCTTTTGCTCTTGGCATTTTAATTATGATGTGTCTTGGTGTGGTCCTCCTTGGATTCCTTTTGTTTGGGGTTCTCTGCGCTTCCTGGACTTGTAAGTCCATTTCTTTCACCAGGTAGGGGAAGTTTTCTGTCATTATTTCTTCAAAAAGGTTTTCAATATCTTGCCCTCTCTCTCCTTCTGGTACCCCTATAATTCTGATGTTGGTACGCTTGAAGTTGTCCCAGAGGTTCCTTACACTATCTTCATATTTTTGGAATCTCTTTTCTTTTTTCTTTTTCGGTTGGGTATTTTTTGTTTCTTTGTATTTCAAATCTTTGACTTGATTCTTGGGATCCTCTTTTCTGCTGCTGGATCTCTGTAAATTATTCTTTATTTCAGTCAGTGTATGCTTAATTTCTAGTTGGTCCTTTTTCATGTCCTCCATGGTCTCACTATACTTATTGAGGGATTCATTAAATTTATCGGCGGTTTCCATAAAATTCTTGAAAAACCTTATAAACGTGGCCTTGAACTCTATATCCAATCGTTTGCTTTCCTCCATTTCTGCCATTTGTGACCTGTTTCTTTGTCTCCGCATTTTGGCAGCTTCCCTGTGTTGATAGAGTGGCCCTGTGCGCCAGGTGTCCTGTAGGGCCCAGTAGCTCAGCCTCCCCAGTTACCTGGGGTGGACACTCTTGGTGCACTCTTGGTGCCTTGGTTGTTGTAGAATCACTGGGAGGAATTGACCTCCAGGCCAATTGGCTGTGAGAATCAGCTGTGTCTAAAGTGGGAGAACTTCTGTGCTGAAGACACCCTTCTGGGGCAAGACTTGCTTCAGTGGGGCTTTGGTGCTCACTGAGTCTGCTCCCTGAGTGTGTCCCTTATGGATCTGAGGAGTTGCAATCTGGATGGACCCCCTCTGACCACTGGGTACAGTGGCTCCTGGATCTAAGGAGGTGCTAATTCAGCCTCTGCCTGAGGCCACACAGCAGGAGCCACGAAGAGGCTCAGCTGTGAAGCAATGCAAGCCGCTGCGGGGCCTTGGGCCTTCTCTTGGAAGTTCAGGGTCTGCCTGGTTCGGCTGCAGTTAGGTACATTTACATGCAAAAGCCTCTGCCGCAGCCTGGGTGGGGCGGGGTCTCAGGGAGTCAAAGGGCGGAGAAAGCAGCCATGGCCGATTCTCCGCCCGGAGTCGCGCTTCTCAGTGTCCCGGTAACGGCTGCAAGCACCTCTGAGGGAAAGCCGCCCTCAAGTTCGCTCGCTGCCGGACAGACCAGCCTCTCCCCGTATGAGTCCTGGGTCCCCAGAGACTTCCCGGAACCGGAGTTCAGAGCAGTCAGGAGCTTGTGACTCAAAAAGTCAGCCGCGTCCTCAGGTGCTACCCCCTTTCCTCGCGCGCGCGCGCCGCCGTACCTCTGCACTTCACCTCCGCAGCGCCTCTGGCTCTCAGCGTGCTTTTCTTTCCTTCTAGTTGTGGAATTTACACTCAGCCAGCCTTCCTGTTGTTCTGGATGATGTTTGCTCAGTCCTTTGCGGTAATTTTCAATTGTTGTGTGAGGCGACAATTTCCCGGTGTTTACCTATGCCGCCATCTTAGTTGCCCTCCTCCTTTTACCCTTTTAATCAGGACTTTCAAATGACAGTTGCCTGGCTCCACATTTATACTTTAGAAAATTGATTGTATGAAATCAGTTGAGCTCTGTAACATTGCAGGCTCCTTTTCAGTATGCACAGTGTAAATGATGCACTTGGCACCTGGGATACGTCTGACAGTAGGACGTGCCAATGCCTATCCAGGTGGACCTTTAACACTGCAGCATAGTAAATGCTGAGAAATACTGATGAACCTGTTAAAAGGTCTGTACCTGGGAGCTTCAAAGGAAATGGCACACTGTTCAATATCAGTAACTCATTTTCTAGTAGATTTTGGTAACTTCAGAGCCAAAAGGAGGATTTGGGACCAGAGTTCTTCAGCCTTCCTCTGTTCTTCTTATCTTCCTCACCCCCCCCCCAAAGCTAATCAGGTACCTACTTAACATATACTACATATGAAACACAGTCAAAGAACTTACATATGATTGAAAAGGTGAAACTAAAAACTAGTTTTAGGACAGGCCAGCAATAAAGGGTGATTCTCCAATGATAAACTAGGTGCTTTAAACTATATGGGCAGTTAGAATTTAGAGAAATGTTTCTTGGGTTTAATTTTAATTTCCCCATAGGATGCACAAAGCTCTGGTTTCAGTTGTAATCCTCTTCTCTGATCATCCTTTTCTAGCCCTTCTCAGTTATGCTTCCTACTTAAGCAGTTAATCCAGCTTCCCATAAAAAAACCCTGTGGCTCAGTGGATAGAGCGTCTGCCTGCAGACCAAAGGGTCCCAGGTTCGATTCTGGTCAAGGGCACATGCCCAGGTTGCGGGCTTGATCACAAGTGTGGGGTGTGCAGGAGGCAGCCAATCAATGATTCTCTCTCATCATTGATGTTTCTATCTCTGTCTTCCTCTCCCTTCTTCTCTGAAATCAATAAAAATATATTTAAAGAAAAAGAAACCCTGTGTTCACTGCCTTTAACCCTGTTGCACTCTGCTTTCTACCTCATGATGATCTTTGCACAACTCTCTCTTCTCTTGACTTCTCACCCTCCTGGTTGTGCTCTCACGTCTCTCACAACGTGGCTCACTCCCTCATTATTTCATCTCTGTCTGCCTGCTCCTGAAACAGAGGCCTACCTCCTGAGACATAGGTGCTCATTCATTGGTTGCTGCACTCTATACTGTCTCCCTGGTGAGCCCTTTCACTCCCAAAGCTTCAGCTCTCACCACTACACAGATGTTCCCAAATCTACATTAGCTCAAGGCCTAAATTTCCAGCTGCCAGTTGGTCTCCATGTAAGTCTATCAAGTAAATCAAAACAGATCTACTAAAAATAGAATTTTATTTATCCACGGGTGTCGCATCCGCTGAATCAACCAATGGCAAATCAAAAATATTCAAGAAAAAAAAAATCCCAGAAAGTTCCAAAAACCAAAACTTGAATTTGCCATGCCCCAAGCGTTATGTTGAATCCAGGAGAATAAAGTGATGTGGAGGCATACCTGCTGTAGCCTATATGCAAATATGGAGTGCATGCAAATACTGCATCATTTTATATAAGGGGCTTGAGCATCTGCAAATTGATATCCACGGGGGTCTTAGAACCAATCCCCTGTGGATACTGAGGGACAACTGTATTATGGCAAAAAAAAAAAAAATTTTTTTTTAATTGACTTTTAGAGAGAGAGAGAAACATCAGTGTGAGAGTGCAACATCTAGCAACTGCCTCCTGCATGTTCCCTACGTGGGCATGTGCTCTGACTGGAATCGAACCAGCCATCTTTCGGTGCATGGGGTGATGCCCAACCAACTGAACAACACTGGCCAGGGGAAAATGTTTATGAGAATTTTCAGACGTAAAAGCTGATAGTGTAACTGTCTATCTCTCTTCACCTAGATTTAAAATTTATCAACGTGTTGCTACAATTGCTTCATTAACATTTTCTTTGAAGTTGTTTAAAGCAAATCTCAGCCATCATGATCCTAAATTCTTCACTGTACATCTCTAAAAAATAAGATCATTATCCATCTAGTAGCACCTATCATTATCCATCAGTATCACTTAATAGCCACTCCTTATTCAGATTTCCCTAAATGTCTATAGTTTGGTTAGAATCAGGATTCAGCAATATCCATATTTTAGTTGTTCTCTTTTAATTAAAAACAGTTTTCCTTTTACCCCAAATGCCATTGTCTTGCTGAAGATACAATCACTTCTCTGTTAGTTTTCAGTTCCTTCCTTTGGCCTAAGTTTGATATGATTGATGTATCTTGTTAGTCATACTTCCCTCTCTGTCCACGCCCTCGTACAGGACTCTGTCATACGGTGCCAGCACTTTTACAGATGCCACCGTGCATTCGTCTCCATGCCTTTGGATTCTAGCCTATTTATTATCTTCTCTTTGTTGACTGAAGAATCACTTCAGTGGCCTCCACTGAAGCCTTTAATGCTTTCCATAACCCACAGAATGAAATATAAAATTCTTAGTTTGGCCCGGCTGGCATGGCTGAGCATTGACCTGTGAACCAGGAGGTCACAGTTCGATTCCCAGTCAGGGCACATGCCCAGATTGCGGGCTCGATCCCCAGTGTGAGGCGTGCAAGAGGCAGCCAGTCAATGATTTTCTGTCATCATTGATGTTTCTATCTCTCTCCCTTCATCTCTGAAATCAAATTTTAAAAGAAGATCTTAGTTTATTTCCTGGACCTGGATTCCTTAACTTAGCAGTAAAGGCATTTTATAATATATCCTGGCTTATTCTCTAAATACTTTACGTTTCAACCACATTGAACTTCTTACTGTACTCTGGTTGATTCACTTGTCAAACTTCCCAAGTGAACTGTGAAGTTCTTAAGGAACAGGGATCATTGCTTATGTATGTTAGCATGTGGAGCACTTGGCACAGTTCTTGGCATTAAATGTTGGATTGATGAAATGCCTTTTCTTCTTTTTTAGAGCCTCCATGAACCTTATATTCCAGACTTTTTCCAAATGTGTCATGTACTTTCATGTGTGTAGGCATTCCTTCAGGCTTTTTCATGAGCCTGAAAAATAGGCTCCTCTCCATTCTCTATCTGTAGAAATTCAATACATTTTCAGCCTAGTGCATAATTGATTAAACCATGTGCTGAATATGTGACATGAGAGGACTGAGAATAACACATCAACTCTGTTATAAATACTATGATATTCTCATCTTATAAATAAAGAATATAAGTAATAGGTTTAAGATCTTGACCTGGATATTAGCTGCTTGGGATTTCAGCCCAACTCTAACTCTGAAGCCTGTGTTCTTCAATGATCAACTGTTGATTGATAACCTTCACAAACATTAAGCTGTGTTTGCACATATTACTATTAGTTTGTAACACAGTCTTAACAACGTAGGTACTAACACTTGTTAATTTTTACACAGTTGAACGGTGCCTCATTGTATTATAAACAGGTCATTTCTAAGCCCTGTACACATCTTGTTTTTGGAAAAGTATGTGTTTCTCTTTCTGTGGCCCTCTCATCAGACAAGCTTTGATCAAATGGGAGATATGTTATTATATTGAATTTTACCTGAATTTATGAAAGCCTGATTATAATATGCATATTTAAAAGCAAGAGTTTCACCAAAGTCAAATGATAAAACTTATGTATATGTTGACTTAATTGTCATCTAATTAGCATTGGCATAACATTTTGTTAAGTGATCTGAACTCTAAACATACCCCATTCTAAATTGCCTTCTGGGACACAAAGGAACCTTGTGGACAATAAAAGCAGTTTCATTAGAAATAAATTTGTCATACAGGAAATAGCATCTTGAATCTATAGGAATTCCCCTTTCCACCACAACTTACATGAGGACTCTAAGTATTAATTATAAAGACAAGACTGAGAAACAGCTAAAGAACCAAAGAGCAAACCACAAGGAATTTTAAATGTCAGTATTCTGTTAAAGATGATGTTTGGAGAGATGGGTAGTGATCTTCCGCTGCCAAGAAAAATACAAAATAAGAATTCCAGAGGAACCCACAAGCAGTTTCAGAGCAGTCCCTCTTATCAGAAAAGTTATTACTGGCATTGCAGAGAGAATTGTATTTTGGTGTCTTTGCCAAAAGACTTTTTCCCAGAACGAAGATGAATAACGTTAACAGTGTTTAGTGAGTGCCTGCTCTGTGTGAGGATGAAGGTTTAAAATGCAGTGAGGTAAGGGCCATAACAACCATGCATGTGTAGCAAGTACCATAGAAGCACAGAGAAGAGAGGGAATTCTGGGGGAATGGAATATGTTTGGAGTCTGAAGGAAGAGCATATTTTCAGACGGAGGGAAAAGCATGAGCAAAAACAAGGAGTTATGACAACCTTTTTTTAGTGCCCAAGTGGTGTTTGCATAACCTTCTCTGCTCCTTGGCAACAGAAGGTGGTGTGGTGACAGTTTTATTTATTGTAAAATAAAAAATGGGATTGGAAAGAAATGTCTGCATCATTCATTGACCATCAAAATGCCATAGTGCAGGGTGGGTAGCATCTCCCAGGTTCCTGTGTTCTAGGTCCTATAGGGCCGCTATGGCCCATGAGTGACTACATTCATTTACATCTGTGTTGTTGTTGTTTTTTCAGGCTTATTCTGTATATGATGAAGAGATTGGCTATTGCCAGGGCCAGTCATTTCTTGCTGCTGTTCTGCTTCTCCATGTGAGTAAATGCGTCTCTGTTATGACTTAGACATGGCCTACCCCAGCTTATACTGGCCTTAATTTTGAGCATGGTTTTATGTTGGCTTTGGCCAGGCTCTAGGACAATGATGGCGAACCTGTGACACGCGAACTCATTTTTTTGGTTGATTTTTCTTTGTTAAATGGCATTTAAATATATAAAATAAATATCAAAAATATAAGTCTTTGTTTTACTATGGTTGCAAATATCAAAAAATTTCTATATGTGACACGGCACCAGAGTTAAGTTAGGGTTTTTCAAAATGCTGACACACCGAGCTCAAAAGGTTCGCCATCCCTGCCCTAGGACATGAGTTTTAGCTCCTGTATCTGGAAAACTTTTTCTTAAGTTAATGTCATCGTGGAAGAGAAACATGTGAGAAGGAGTGACAGTGTTGAAAACTGGTACAAGGGTAGATTTTCTTTTTCTTGCTAAGATGTTTGGATAGGCTTAATTCTTAGTTGGACCCTTGGGGACATTTTATCTTCTCTAAAGTAGCCACCTCATTATTATTTGTTTTGGGATTTATATATTGAAGTAGGAGGAAGGCGAAGGAGTTGGGTTTCTTTAGTGCCATTTTTTTCATCCAATTTACTGATATTTTTTTCAGATCCACAGCAAAATTGAAAAAATCTTAAGGTGAACACCCATATACTCTTCACCTAATTTACCAGTTAATATTTTTCCATACTGTTTTCTCTGTCTCTCCCTCTGCATTTTCTCTTTTCCTCTCTTACACACACACACACACACACACACACACACACACACACACAATTTAAAAAAAAAATTTTAAATTCAGTAGCAAACATCGACATATTTCATTCCTAAATACTTGAGCATGTATCTCCTAAGGACATGACCATAATATCACAGTCACATCCAAGAAATTTCACACTGATTCAATATTGGCTTACACCCAATTCAAATTCAGTTTTCCCCAATTGTTTACACAGTAAAGTCCTTTATAGGTGTTTTTTTTCTAACCCAGATCAATGGATTGCATTTGATTGATTCCAGCATTGCATTGGGTTGTCACTTCTCTTTATTATCTTAATCTAAACTACCCTTTTGCCTTTTTTACGTATTTTGAAACATTTTAGCAAATTATCTTGTAAAAAGATCACACTCTTGATTTGTCTGATCATTTCCTAATGATTCAAGTTAGAATGTTTGGCAAAAAATACATAGGTGATGCTAACTGATGTTTTTGAGCACCTGTATGGTCTGTACTGTGCTAGAGATCAGGCGAGAATAATGTAGTCATGGTCTCAGTCCTTGTGGATACACAGCTAGTGAAGCTGACCACCTGTAAGCAGAAAGTCACATAAGTATATTAATTTCAGTGGTGCTGTGAAGACATAATAAAAAAGTTTGATGCAAGATTGTAACAAGGGAGCCAGATTTAGATTCCAGGCTCCTCTGGGGAGGCAACCCTTAAGGTGAACCCTGAAAAATGAGAAGGGTTCTCATTTAACTTTTTTTAAACATTCTTATGAAAATAATAAAAGTATTTTAAATAGCAAGAGAGTAGAGAATAGAACATTCCCAGAAAAGGAAATAATAGAATATATAGAAGCACTGAAATTGGGAAAACTTGGCATTTGGAAGGAACTGAAAAGACAGGACTGGAGTGTCATGAGTGATGGGAAGAGGAGAGGGAACTGGAGGGACAACAAGACCTGCCTAGTAGGCCCCTGGAGGCCAGGCCAAGAAGGCTGGATTTGTTGCTCTAAGTAAGGGGAAGCTGTGGAAGAGTTTAAGTCCTTTTGTGTTGTAGTGCAAATAAAATACAGGGTTGTAATACAAGTAAAACAAAAACCACTTTCTGTCTTGTTATTGGACCTAGCTTATTGGTATTGGTAGACATGTAAACAGAGGATAAAGCTTTGATATTAATAAACAAGTCAAGTAAGTGTGTGTGTGTGTGTGTGTGTGTGTGTGTGTGTGTGTGTGAGTGATGTGATGATTTGCTGTAAATGATGAAATACCTACACAATCAAGCTAATTAACACATCCATCAACAGGTAAAGTTTTAAAATTTTGTTTTGTTTTGTTGTTTTTTTGTTGTTGTTGTTGTTGTTTTTTTTAAATATATTTTATTGATTTTCTACAGAGAAGAAGGGAGAGGGATAGAAAGTCAGAAACATCCATGAGAGAGATCGATCAGCTGCCTCCTGCACGCCCCCCAGTGGGAACGTGCCTGCAACCAAGGTACATGCCCTTGACTGGAATCGAACCCGGGACCCTTGAGTCCGCAGGCCGACGCTCTATCCACTGAGCCAAACCGGTTCGGCTTGTTTTGTTGTTTTAGGCAAACTTTTTATCTCAAAGTCTCACAGATCTTTGTGGTTTATCTTTGTTCTCAACTTCAGTCCAAGGACATTTATCCCCATACAAGTATCACAACCCCTTTAAAATGGATTTCCTGATCAAATCCACAGTGTCTTCGATTGAATTCTCTGCTGCTTGCCATTGTGTTAGGTAAATGTCAGCCTCAGGGCAGATGTACTGTCTAACAGAAAGGCCACTCGGGGTCAGACCACATCTCCCTGAGTGTGGGGAAGAGTGAAGTTCCCTTTCGTGACAAAGACCTCAAAGGTCTGGTCCTTTGCTCCAAATCCTTAACTTTCCAATAATATGCTTCATTGTTCTCGTTTATTACTTAGTCTGATTTTTCTCTTTAGCTCTGCCTTATTCCAGTGATTTCTGTGCTTAGCCCACCTCCATCGTCTTGTTCCACAGAAGCCTGCCCACCTTCTTGATATTTGAAGGCTTGCTATAGTCACACTAAGCCTCATATAACATTTCCAGTGCTTTCTTTTTTATTTTGAAAATGAGACATTTGCCATACTCTTGAGGAATATTTTTCTGTAAAGCTGTGAAAGATGTAGGTATTATTCTAAATAGGTAACATCTGTAAATAGACATAGGGTTTTTGTAGTACTTGAAGTATTACTGTGAGTGTTAAACTATAGTAGCTTAAGCATTACCACAAGCATTCGAACATGTAAGGTTTCTCTAGCCATCTTTTTAAATAACAGTGAGGAAGTAAAATATTTTTACTGTAACAAAATGGCGGCTAAGGAGGTAAAATGATTTATAAAATCTCATGATTTGGGAAAGATGAAACTTACACTTGTTATCTGCCTGTCCTGCCCTGTTCCAATCCTGTCCTCTCTACAGAGCCTCTCTGTCTTCCCAGGCAGACTCAGGCTTCCCTGTCCCGGTGATCTCATCATCTTTCTGCCTAATCTGTATTACAGTGATTGTGTGCGGTTATATGGGAGGCTCCCCAGGGACAGGAACAGTGTCTGACATAAAGGAGGCACCATTAAGTATTTCTTGGTTGAGTCTTGGCTGATGGGGCTCAGTTGGTTAGAGCGTCATCCTGAACACCAGAGGGTGGCAGGTTCCATCCCTGGTCAGGACACACCCAGGTTTCGGGCCCAATCCCTGGTCTGGACAGGTGTGGGAGGCAACCTATCCATGTTTCTTTCTCACAATGTTTCTTTTTCACATCAGTGTTTCTCTCTAAAATCAGATGTTAGAGATTTGATTTCTTGGTTGAGTGAATGAATGTTATGAAATACTGAGTTACTGCATATCAGTAAACTTCCTAGTATCCAGATAAGAGAGTAGAAGGATGAATTTAATATACTGAAGCACTTCTGTATCTGTTGTGTGATTTTATTTTTGTTTTCTGCCATCCCCTGTCGGTCACAGATGCCTGAAGAACAGGCGTTCAGTGTTCTGGTCAAGATCATGTTTGACTATGGTCTCAGGGAACTTTTCAAGCAGAATTTTGAAGATTTGCATTGCAAATTTTACCAGTTGGAGCGCCTCATGCAGGTAAATAAAGAAACCAGCTTGCCTTTGCCAGTTAGAGCATGAGAAATAGATTGATGAAATGGTGCCAAGGAGCAGTGGTATTGCCTTCGCCATCCAGGGTGAAGGATAGGTGTTTTTGTTTGTTTCCATTTTTCACGGTGTGATATGATGCCAAGGTTGATAAGGCATGAACCTGTTGGGTGTAAGCTGGGTTTTCAATCTTGTCAAACACTCAGAATATCAGAAGATTTTGTCGGGGCCTCTAACACAGCACACTCAGTCAGGAAGTGTTCGCCAGGGCTCTGACGCTGACTGGTTAGAAATCCCATAACAAAAGTGAAACAAACTTTCCCAAACATTTTACAACTTGGAAAGAAAAACTGCCTTTCCACATATTTGTCACCATTTGGGGGGGATTCCTCTTTAGAGCTAGTGTGTGGACTGGAAGAGGGAGCTGAGTGCCAGTTTAATGCCAGATGATAAGTGTTCTTCTGAGTCCTTGGAGGTTTTCAGAAAAACACAAGTATGTGACTTCTTTGGCCTATTCCTGTTAGATTTATGAGCCTCCTGAGTGGGAGCTGAATAGCTGCATATGTGCCTAAAACTAATTAGTTTTCTATTTCAGGAGTACATTCCCGACCTGTACAACCACTTCCTGGATATAAGCCTTGAAGCACACATGTACGCCTCCCAGTGGTTTCTCACACTTTTCACTGCCAAGTTCCCTCTCTACATGGTCTTCCATATCATTGACCTGCTGTTGTGTGAGGTACGTATTGGAGACCATAGCACTTTGGAGTGTTACAGCGTCCTTCCCATGACAGCTGTCAAAACAGAACTTGTCCTGCTCAGTTGTTTTAGTTCAGTGCTGGGAAATTCAAGTCTCAGTGACTCTTCCTTGGGCCGAAGCTAATGGTCACATTTTGTTAAAAGGCGCTCTCAGCTTAAAAAACAAACAAACCATATGTTAGACATTTGTATTAGTTAGTATTAGGTTTGGTTGATGTTTTGAAGAAATTCAAAACAGCAGCAATTAAATAAAATAGAGGGTTTCCTATGGCTGGTGAGAGTGCTAGTTATCAACTCTGCATTTTAAGCTTGGAGGATTAGAAGGGAACAGGAGAGGTACATGGCCTCTTTTTAAAAGAGACTTCTGGAAGCACCACCTGCGTTTCCTCTTACTCTTATTGGTGAGGGGAAATGCACTTAGGTCATGACCACTCCCCACTGCAAGAGAGATTTATTTTTTTTTAAAGCGTGGTAGGAATTAGCTAAAAATGGGGTGGGGTGGGGTTTTATTGCTAAAAGAAAGTAGATAATAAATAACAGTCTTTGCCACAGCATAGTTTTGGGTTTTGGGGTGTGTGTGTGTGTGTGTATTTAAGAAAAAAGTTACTAATTTCAAAAATATATGTTTATTATAGAAACTGTAGAAAATATAAGCAAAAAGATTTAAAGATACATCTAATCTCACTGTCCAGAGGGTAATTACTTTTAACATTTTGATACATATTCATTCTTTCAGCTTTTTTTGTGTTTATATATGTGCATATGTAATTTCTAGATGGAATAGTATTTTTTCTATATGGAATATTATATAATAATGCATATTATGGGTCAGTATATATTTAAAAATATGATTATGCTATATATACTATTTGGCAACCTCTTTTTTCATTTCATGTACTTGAACATATCTCGATACACATCAATACCATCTTTCTTTTTATATAAGCTTACCATGTGCAAAACATATGAAAGTCCATTAAAGAATTTGTACCTTCTATCCAGCTTGAAACATTATGAGAAATAACATTACCAAATATACCATTACTCTTATTGCTGTCAAGTATCCCATTTGGGTATACCATATTTTGTGTAACCAATTCCTAATCTCAAACCTTTGAGTTGTCCAGTTTTTACTATTAAAAACAACCATTTGTTAAGTAGTTAGGAGCCCAGTGGCATGCTAAATAATTTAAATAAAATTTCCAAACTAATTAGCTCAGAAAACCCTTGGGAGAATATTAGTTATGGAAACTGAGGTCCAGAAACTTAAATAGTTTAATTTGATCAGCAGATGTTAGTGCCTCCCCTCATTTGTCCTTTGCCCCCATCCCCCGACTCCCAGCTAGTCAGATGAAGGAAGGCAGTTTGGAGGGAGCCCGGAGCAGGGTTGGCTCAGGACACCAACAGGCTTCAGAGTGATTGCTGTACCTCAAGTGGGGCCACACAAAATCAAGTTCTATGGGAATTAGTCCGGCTGGTGGTTGAGTGTTAACCTATGAACCAGGAGGTCACGGTTCAATTCCTGGTCAGAGCACATGCCCGGATTGAGGCAACCGATCAATGATTCTCTCTCATCATTGATGTTTCTCTCTCTCTCCCTCTCCCTTCCTCTCTGAAATAAAAAATATATATATATATATATATATATATATATATATATATTTTTTTTTTTTTTTTTTTAAAGTTCCACAGAATTATTTTCTGATTATAATTTTTGTTGTTGTTAATCTTTCCCCGAGGTTATTTTTCCATTGATTATTAGAGAGAGTGGGAAGGAGGGGAAGAGAGAGAGAGAACATCATGTGAGAGACACATTGACTGGTTGCCTCTTGCACACACTCCCACTGGGGCCAGGATCGCACCTGCAATTCAGGTATGTGCCCTTGACCAGGAATCAAACCCGTGACCCTTGGGTGTGTGGTCCAACATGCTTTATCCACTAAGCCACACTGGCCAGGGCCTGATCATAATTTTATGAGTCTGATGTTTTGGTTGGGAAGTGTAGGAAAGTATTCTTGTTGAATGTGAGAATAGGGCTAGAAAAGCTCTTCTGTCACAAGAATGGGAGACTGGATCTACTTTACGTGGTGTTTCAGCAGTGGCTCTAGTTTTTATTTTCCAAGGTATTTTCAAGATAATTCCATTTCTTAATTAATGTTTTACAACTGCTCTAAAATTGTGGGGTATTCTGAAGACAAATGGCTTCATAGTCCAGATGTAAACACTAAAAATGTTCTTTTTGTGTTTTCTCTTTTAGGGAATCAGTGTTATTTTTAATGTTGCCCTTGGATTATTGAAGGTACACATTTATTCATAAGCTGAGTCATCTGTTGTTTTCGGTTCAGCACTTGCAGTAGCTTGGGTCTTAGCCTTGTTCTAACAGCCACTGTGCTTGGACATTGTCCCTGGCAGTGGAGATGAGCACGTGGCTCTGATGGAGCGGAGACCTATCTTCTGGGGCTTAGAAAGCTGCTGGGATTATAAAATGCTTCTTGTGCAGCCTTAAAGCAAAGAACCTTTTCTCCACACAGTTCTATCTCTTTTTCTAGACGTCGAAGGATGACTTGCTTTTGACAGACTTTGAAGGTGCCTTGAAGTTCTTCAGGGTCCAGCTTCCTAAGAGGTACCGCTCGGAAGAGAATGCAAAGAGGCTCATGGAATTGGCTTGCAACATGAAGGTAAAATAATTTTTGCATTAATTTAGATTTTTTTTTTTGTTCAGTTAATGTCTCACTATTGCTAATCAAACTAATAACATTTATAATACACTTAAATAATATTTTATTTTGTATATTTTTCCAAAAAAATTTTTCATACACTTTCTCTTTTTGTTAATCCTCACCTGAGGATATTTTTTCATTGATTTTTAGGGAGAGTGGAAGAGAGAAGGAAAGACAGAGAGAAACATCGATGTGAGAGAAACACATCGATTGGTTGCCTCCTGCGAGTCCTGACCAGGGCCCGGGCCAGGGAGGAGCCTGCAACCAAGGTACGTGCCCTTGCCCAGAATCGAACCCGGGACCCTTTGGTCCACAGGACGCTCTATCCACTGAGCCAAACCGGCTAGGGCACTTTCTCCTCATTTTGGATAATTCTTCCTTTATTTAACTTACATAATACAACATAGAGAAAATGTCTGGTTAACATAATTCAGAATAACAATGTTTCCCGCATCAAAAATAAAAATAAAATCACAAACAACATCAGAATGCCAGGTGTGCACCATATATCAATTCATCAGTTGTAATGGAAATTTTTTGACACTTTGCACTTCCTTCCCAGTTTAGACTTAAAATGATTCTCCCATAAGATCTCAAATTAGATACTTCTGTTTTTCCCCAGCTTTATATGTAATGTTAGGTAAGTTTAAGGTGTAAGCGTGATGATCTGACACATGTATATATTTCCAAATGTTTACCACAGTTAAGATTAGTGACCATCTTCTTCATATCACAAAATTACCGTGTTTTTGTTGTTGTTGTTGTGATGATGAGAACATTAAAGTTCTGCTCAAAGCAACTTTCAAGTATACAGTAGTCTTGTTAACTATAGCCATCATTCTCTTTCTTAGATTCTTAGAAAGTGTGTACCCTTTGACTGACATCTCTCCATTTTCCTCACCCCTCAGCCTTCCAAATATTTTCTTGTGTTATATCCTATGCATTAAATCTTACTGCTTCCCCCAGCCTTTGAACTCTAGGAAAGATATTATCATTCCCATTTTGAAGACAAGCCAAAGCAAAAAGAGCTTATAGCTCTCTCTAGTCCTATAGCTAGTTAGTGGCAGAACACAAGTTTTGTGATTTCTATTGTGCTGTCCTTTAACTTTCAGTATGTATTGTTGTGGTCAGAAATTCCCTAATAAGAAACTAATACATGAGGGAAATCCACTTTGTTTTTCACTTCCAATGGCATTTATGATTTGTACAAATTCGTAAGGTAAAAAACATAGGGTTATAAAACAATTTGGTTTTAAAGAAGATCAAGTAATTGAAGGAGTTTAGTTTGGAATTTTCAGCTGGAGGCAAATGGGGGACAGAATAAATAGTTGTATTCATATTCTTTAAGGTGCATAAAAGTCTTGTTTACTTTATGTGACTCCAGAGAGTAGAACTGGAATTAGTGTGTCGGGCAGATGTGAGCAAGAAGCTTCCGTCTATGACGAGAGCACGGACTGGGTATCAGGGAGACCTGAATTCAGAGCTAGTCAGTTACTTAAGAGGCAGTCTCCTCATCTGTATGGTAATATTGGACTCTGGTTCTAGTTATATGTCAGACTGAGCTAACGCAGGCCAACCTTCCTTAGACACTTAGAGATGCTAAATAAAATAAGGCCCAAGAAATGTTAAAATACCTGAATGAACTTGAAAGAAAAAAGAGAAATGCCCAGGTACCTGAAGCAAAGTAGCTCGAAGCTAGTGTGTGTGAACTGATAAAGAGCGTCCTGTGGAATGTGGAGGCGTAGGTAGGTATTTCATGCTCCCACAGACACACAATGTGACTGGGCCTCCAGCAGGACCTTGGCCTTGCTGCTGTGTTTTTGAAAGGGTGGGTGCAAACTATCTATAATCCCAAGAAAGAACAGAAATGATAAGGTAAAATGAATGGGGTGTTTGTTTAAAAAGAAAAGGAAATAGAACTTCTAGAAATTAAGATAATCATTGAAGTTATCATTCAAATTAAAAGGTGACATACTTCACAAGTATTATGGATAACATTTAATGATATTTTACCAGTGCCAAGTACTGAGGCTCAGTACTTCTGTGTGTGAGGATTAACTACAGCATATGTACAGTGCCTGTTTGCCACAGTGCCTGCTAACTGGTAAGGGTTCAGGACATGGTGGCTGCTACTGTGGTTACTTCCTCTCTGGTTTTGAAGCAGATATGAAACACTTTTCAGGGACATTTTCATGGATGTTTGGTTTGTGCACAAAGCAGAGAACCAAGTGAGCTCTGAGGTTCTCTGAATCTCTCTCCACCTCAGCCTGGGTCAGCACACAGGAGGATCTGCCTCTTTCTCAGTGTCCCATCTCAGGTCGTGGTACCCGGCTGGTTGCTCGGGCCACAAATCTCAGTATCATCCTGGACTCTCTGTCACACTTCCCATCTTACTCCACATGCAAGCCCTACTATCAGAATGTATCCTAAATCTGGTCACTTCCTGCTCCCTTCATCACTAACACCCTAGTCTAATCTCCTCATCACCTCTCCCCTGGAATATTCTAAAAGACTGCTTGGTCTTCCTGTTTCCACACTGGTTTCTTCCCCGGCTTTTCTTGATCCCATCTCTCTTGCTTACAACTAATGGCTTCTAAGAATAAAACTCGAGTTTTAGCCTTGGCCTGCAAGGCCTGCCACCATCTGGCCTCTGATTTTATCTCCTACTTACTACTTTCCCCCCTTACTCTTTCCACTTCAGACACTTGGCCTCCTTGCCGTTCCTAAACAGGCCAACATGTTCACTCCTCAGCCTCTGCCTGTAATGTTTTCCTCGGTGTCCGCCTAGCGTCACTGTTGCCTCATTCAGTCTTGGGCTCAAATATCATGCCATCAGAGAGGCCCTCTCTGATTACAGCGTTTAAAGTAGCAGCTCCCCCAACCCTTATCTCCTGCTCCTATCTTATTTTCCGCTTATCACTGCTTCACATTATCTTGTTTATTTGGTTATTAATTCTCCCTCTACATTAGAATTAAGCCTATGACAGAGGGGACTTGATCTCTTGCTTCTGAATCCCCAGCGCAAGAACAGAATCTGCCATATAAATAGTGGTTGAATAAGTGAATAAATGAATATGCTGTTGAGTTTCTACCAAATGGTTTACAAACAAGGGTTCACATGGATTTGGGCAAGGCTTAAAAGTAGCTTCCAGCGAAGGTTTTACCTTTTGGGTTTTCATTAGCTTGAAACACTTTAATAATATATGGATCCTTTTTTCCGTAGGCCAGATGAGAGGTGTCTAATGTCTTCTTTTTCTTGCCTCTGCTTTCAAGGAGTTAAGGCAGACAAGGCTGCACAGCACACACGTTTTGTACTTAGATACGTAATTCCTTCTGGCCCTGGAGAACTCTGCTTGGCGGGGGTGCTCTTTGGATGATACCCCTACTTGCAACATGGTTTCAGGGTGAGAAAGATAGTAATTTTTTAAATTGATTCGAAGCGTGGAAAGCCTTACAGATTCACCAGGACATGAGCGAATGAGATTTTTCTGCTAAAGGTGGGATATGGTGTGCACAGTTTAGTTAGTAATGATTAGTTATGCTCTGGCAGCTATACTTGAATACCGGCAAATATTAATGGAGAGTTGAGCCAATTATCGGCAAAGAACCTTAGTCACAGTATAATATGCCAGCTCAAAATAAGAAAATCCTTGGCAAGCCCTGCGTGTGTTATGTGGGCAGCATGAGGTTGGGAGCACCTCAGTCAGTACGGTGTGTGTGTGATCGCCTGCGGGGGCAGAGTCCCTCTGGACATGGAGAAGGGGGCTCCTGCTATGGAATGGTTTGGAATCTAGCTTTTTAACTTTTTGGTGTACAATTTAGAAATGAAACATTGACTTTGGCTCATTGAAATTCCATTCCATTATATTTTTATTTTTAAAAAATTGTGGCTTGGTTTTCAGAGTTGTGCTTCCTGATTGAGAATACTTTGCCACACATGCAGTCCAGGAAACAAAGATCTATTTTTCTTATTGTCATTGTTGTAACATTTATAATGTTGTAATTTCTGGTATTTGTATAGTTTTTGGAAGTATCTCATTTCTTCCATATGGTAACTTATGAGGTACATAGAGCAAATCAAGTGTGGAAACTGAGGCATACAGAAGTCAGGTAACTTACCCAAGTGGTACTGGCTGGGCACTGACAAGCCCTAGTGGAACTCAGGCCTTCAGACTTTGCATTCGCAATGTGCTTTCCACTCCTTTGCAGAAATACAACAGGAGTTAAGTTTATTGTGGCAATACCCAAAACAGCCACAAGATGGAGGTGTTGTTCAAAAAGGTCTGTATTCCTCCCTGTACCTGTGTGTGTGTGTCCCTTTATGTCTGTCTTTTCTCTCTTTTCTACCCTTTTACTTCTCCCCTTCTCCTTAGTTTATTATGGGACTAACATATTTATTTTTTGAGGAATTTTTGATCTCCTGTTCTTCATCTGTAATTTAATAGCATGTATAAAAACTCATTTAGCGGTCCATTGATTTTCTCTTTTTTTATGGGCCAGTGCCCTGAAATAGAAAATTTTTTTCACTTCTGCTATGAAGTCTAAAAGGAATTTCATTTTTAACGATTGTTCTAGGAGTTAATGAATAGCTCCATAACCCATTCATACTCATAACTGTACTATGCATTATTTAGAGGGGGGTGGGAATACAATCACAGTTAGATCTTTTAAATTTTTGATTTGAGAATTATGTTAAAGCAATGGTTTCTTTTGTCTTTACAGGTATTTTAGAGAATAAGTCAGATATATGAGGCTAGTTTAGAAGAAACAGGAAACAGCTGAAAGAGATGGCTCAGTTGGTTTCTTAGATCAAGCTTGAAGACTTGACCCTTTTGTTGTAGAATCCTCACTAAGGTGAAATGTAATTTCTGAACCACTGTTTCACTAGAATTTATAAAGTGATTGTGCTAGACTTCAAACTACCTGTAAGAAAAGATATTATTACAAAAACCAAATAG